AGATATCTGAAGAACAATGGAGGTTTTGTGTTAAACATTTTGGCTTTGAAGAATTTCAGGATATTACTTTTGTTAAATGCAAGTTAAAAATGTCAAATGATTTTAATAATGATACACTTTTTTTTAGAACAAAAGCAAACGGAATTCTGCAAATGAAAAAAAAAAAAAAAAAAAGGAAAAGGAAAAGGATTCACACAACAGGTAATGTATCCTTTGATGAATTTGAAGTTAGAATAGTAAGTTTTTATAAGATAATTTAGATTTTATGATACATTAAAATCTATTAATTATTTTATTGTTTTCCTACTAATATTGTGATTTTGGTTTTTATGCCTTGGAAGGTTGAATCTACTACGAGAGAAAAACCATCTACTACAGATATTTGGTTATTGTAACATTCTCGAAAAACAAGAAATGGAACTTTTGTATAGGCAGATCAAGAATCAAGATCAATTGGAGTAAGTTTTAAGATTATCATATATATGAAAAACTAAAATGTTATAATATATATATTTTTATATAGAAAATTTTTAATTTGTGCCATTAGTGTGCATTTATTAGGTTATACTCACCTACTAAAATAGAATATGTAATTAATTTAGTGGAATTTTGATGAGGGGGTTTCAACTGTTATTGAAATCTCTATTATATCCTTATTATTATCTACTGTTGACTGATGTCCTACACCTACTCCCTTCATCTTCTATTTCTCTTTCCCCTGTCCTTTACCATCTTTCTCTTAGCTGTGTACATCAATTTAGTACTCTTATCTCTCCACCATGTTTCTATGTTTGGCACATTTTCATCATCTTGATTATCGATCCTTGTGGTAGCAATGATTTGCAGTTAGCTCTCTCTTATGAGGCCAAGCACGGACCACAATATGATGGGCTGATTAAGTTATTGTTTTTTGTAGGAATTTAACATGAAATTCTCAAATGCTTATCTTTTGAATTGATTTCTTTTACATATTATTTCTACTATTAAAACAAAAATTTAGTGAATAGGGGATTTCTGGTTTAAAATTATTCTTGCTCTTGGCATGTGAGAAAAATAGAAAATTCCTTGTTAAAATTCCTAAAAAAATAGTTACAGATTCTATTTTAATTAGTGGATGAATATACACTAATAAATGCACACTAATTAAAAATTCTCATATATATATATGTGTGTGCTTCCTTAATATTAATATTTGATTGATGACTAATAAATGTTATATATTTTGGTTAAAATTTTTTTCCATTAGTTGCATTTTTGTTATAGCAAAGAAAGTATTACTAATGTGTTTTCATAATCTTTATAGGAACGTTGGCAAAATTTGGTTGCTGAAAATAGTAAAAATGGAATTGAAATGACAAATAAAGAGTTATATGATCATGTTTTGTCTCAAAGCAACAAAAATAGAGGTGGAAATGGGACAAAATGCCTAAGCCTATCTGATTTTGTGAATTAACAAAGGAAGATCAAAGAGTTGGAATAGAGAGTTGGAACAAAAATTACAAGCTCTTGAAAAAGAGAAGAATGAAATATTGGCAGACAAAAGTAAAAATGAAGCAAAAATAATGAAAAATATTTGGTTGCAGTATGAGAAAGAAAATGACGCAAATTGGGTCAATAGTTTCCCAAGTTTAGAATAAAAGTAGGATATAAATATAGGAGTGACAATAAATTTAGTACTCTTATCTCTCCATGTTTCTATCTTTGGCACATTTTCATCATCTTGATTATTGACCCTTGTGGTAGCAATGATTTCCAGCTAGCTCTTTCTTATGAGGCCAAGCATGGACCACAATATGATGGGCTAATTAAGTTATTGTTTTTTGTAGAAATTTTAGCATAAAATTCTCAAATGGTTATCCTTTGAACTGATTTCTTTTACAGATTGTTTCTACTACTAAAATGAAAATTTAATGAATTGGGGATTTCTGGTTTAAAATTATTCTTGCTCTTAGTTACAGATTCTATTTTAGTGGATGAATATACCTTAATAAATGCACACTAATTAAAAAATCTCATATATATATATATGTGTGTGTGTTTTCTTAATATTAATATTTCATTGATGACTAATAAATGTTATATATTTTGGTTAAATTTTTTTTCGATTAATTGCATTTTTGTTATAGCAAAGAAAGTATTACTAA